CTCCCTGGGGTGGACGTCGACTTTCGGGGGCCCTCGGCGTATACTGCGCTGCACGCTTGCGCGGAGCGTGGCTGGGGCGACCAGGTGCAGCTCCTACTCGCGCAGGGCGCCGACCCGTGCCTCCGCGTTGGGATGGGCTCTCGCGACGCCGCCAAGGTGGGCAAGACCCCCTCCGAGCTGCCGCCAGCGCTGTCAGGCCTCACCGCGGCGCTCAACGCCGCGCACGCGACCCGGCTAGCCTCGGACGCGCGCGCTGTCTCGTCTGCCTTCGCCCGTGCCGAGCACTTCTCGTTCGACCTACTCGAGCCAGACGACGCCGACGTGGAGTTGACGTTCGAGCAGCGCTACGAGCAAGAGTACCTCCACGCGGAGCACGACGGCGCCAGCGCGAAGTCGGCGGCGAGCTGCGCAGACGAGGCCGACTTCCACGTGCGTGAGTTCCTCCGCTTCCTGGCGCTCAAGTCCGTGCGCCCCGACGTGACCCCCTCGGTTGTTGTGGACAACGTCTTCCACCTCGCCCTCACGTACACCGTCGCGTACGCCCACCTCTGCGCGCTGGTCGGCGGCACCTTCATCCACCACGACCCCACCCCCGGCGGCGACGCCGCAAACGCGCGCTACATGCGGCAGTACGAGGACGCGCTCGAGCTCTACGCCCTCGCGTTCGGCGCCCCACCTCCGAGGAGCGTGTGGCCACCCGTCGCGGAGAGGATGGACCCGCAACGAGACTATGTCTCGTTGCCAAGGTCGCGGGTCCAGGAGCTCCGCGCCGCGGCGATGAAGAGCAACATTATAGGGGGGGTATGGTAATAATTAGTTAGCTGACTACCTACTCAAGCAGGTAGACTAGTGAGTAAGAAAAGAAAAGGAGCACAACGTCACTAGGATATGTATCCTTCGACACTCATTTTTAAGTACAATAAGATTCGCTTGCGTGGTGGTGGGGATTGCGAAGATGAAGACGAGGACGACCTGGTTGGATATATTAAGGACATGCCACCCCGTCTTCGGCAAACCTTCCTTAATGATCATCAACCTCGCATTTCAGCACGTGAAGCCGACGAACTTTCTCCAATGATCGACAACGATCGCTATGATCATGAACATTGCGACGAAAATGATTCTCTGCCCGATGAGGCTCTTCAGGCAATTAAAGACGTTGATGCTATGAATTCCAACGCATAATTTCTTCGTTTCATGGATGAAGAAAAACAGCGTGTAATGGAAGCAGAACGTCGCGAAATCGAAGAAACAGAGAAGCGATTGAATGATCTGGGGACTGTTTTGAATTCTGAAGACGACGATGACG